CAGAGGGGTGTGGACATGGCCCCGCCTCGAGAAGTCTCGCCTGCTGAGCGTGGACAGAAAAGGACCTGGCTTCTCATTACCACAGCGCCAAGGCGGCAGAGCCGTGATGGGGCCAAGTGAAAGGCACTGTCCAGAGTTCTAAAGTCCTGCACGCCCGCTCAGACCTCCCCTTTCCTTGATTCTCCATCCACGGTGGCGAACCTGGGGCACACGTGCCGGCCCCGCCTCGAGAAGTCTCGCCTGCTGAGCGTGGACAGAAAAGGACCTGGCTTCTCATTACCACAGCGCCAAGGCGGCAGAGCCGTGATGGGGCCAAGTGAAAGGCACTGTCCAGAGTTCTAAAGTCCTGCACGCCCGCTCAGACCTCCCCTTTCCTTGATTCTCCATCCACGGTGGCGAACCTGGGGCACACGTGCCGCAGCAGCCTGTTTGTCACCTTGGAAAGCTCCAGAAGTTCGCTGTCCACAGCGGAGGACTCAACTTCCTGGAGAGGGTCTCTTAGCCATCTGCCCCAGAGGGAGGGTGGGGAGTGGCAACTGGAGGGCGCAGGGCTGGGCTCCGCTTTCTCACTGCTGGCCTGCCGTCAGGCGAGTCCCTTGCCATCCTAGGTCTTTATTATCCTTTATTCCCCTGGGCTGTGTGGGGACGAAATGGGACCTATGTACTGACGGCGCTGGGTGCTAGCAAACACTGTCGCCCAGGGCTGACCGGCCAGGCCTCCCTCTATACTGTGGCATGAGACCAGGTCCACTCATCCCCGAGGACCCTTGGCTCTGCCCTCCGAGTTGCCTGGAGTCGGGTCCCCGGCGCTGACCTGTACTCGGCTCCCCAGCCTTTGACAAAGCTCATGCGGATGGTGCACATGCGCGTCAGCTGGTAGACAGCCTCGAAGCCCTGGTTCACAGACTGAGCCAGCAGCGCAGCAAACTCCTGGTTGTTGAAGATCTTCAGGTTACATCCTGCAGACAAAATAAAGACAGCACTGGTGGGGGCATGGTAAAGCCATCCCCATCACCCTGGTTTAACTCTCCACGGTCAGGCCGTGCCTCAGCCAGACTCTGAACTTAGCACCAGGCAAGGCGTGGGCCTGCTCAGCCCCTGCCCTTGAATCTGTTACCACCTTGTCAGGAAGAGGCTGTCCGCACGCTCCACCCCTTCAGGCACAAGAACACAGAAAACGTGGACCGTAAAGTGGGCCACCAAGGACCCGAGCACCATTAGGAAAGCTGAACCAGCCCTGGGCCCTAAGGCCTAAGCAGGCACGGAGAGGCCAGGGACCACCAGGGCCCGGGACCCTCAGCAGAGGGTGGAGTGCAGGTCCTCCTGCTGGGCCAGGAGAGACGTGGGTCACAGCTTGGCCTCAGCACAGGCTGGGTTGTGACAGTCAGGCAAAGGAAGGTGTGCCTCTAATTCTCCAGACAGGAAAACTAGAGGCAGGCACAAAGTTTAAAATAAACCTCTTGTTTGAAGTCCCGCTGTCTGAAAGCCAGGAATGTGTCAATCAGGAAAATAAAAGCATACGCCGGCACAATCGAAAGGTGAGCCGAGGTGATCTTAGGAAGGGGCCAACGCCAGCTCCTCATCGTGCTGTGTGTGGCTCTGGGCCAGTCACCTTTCTCTGACCTGGGGTCTCCCCCAAAAGGAGGGGCTGCCCCAGTCTCCTAGGTCATTGCAGTTCTGACAGCCTGGGAGCTAGTGACCTCCAATGATGGGGTGAGGACCAGGGATTTAGCTCAGTGATGCCGCCACCTGTGTCCTAAAAGCAGGGTCCCGAGTTCAATCCCCAGTACCAAATAAATACATTTTAAAAATCAATATTTTTTTAAAAATGGGTGGGGTGGGCCAGAGGAAGGAGCAGGCAGACCACTTCTTCTGTGCACTCCAAGGCACGGTGTAGTGGAGCAGGGCTGAAACCCCCAAAAGAGCACTGGACGAGTCTTCAGCCCTGGACTCCCGCCTGACATGGCCAAGAACGAGCTGTGTCCCTGCGCACATGGCTTAACCTCTCCGACCTTCCCCTTAATCACCTTACTTGGAGAGGCAGAGTGACTGGAGAGGATGAGATCAAAGGTACACATGTACTCTGTTAATGCAACCACAGCATGCTCCAGAACTGTAGCACTGAGCATTCCAGGTTTCCTGCAGTCAGTTTGTCCTGTTCTTGGCCATGTCCATTTGGCGAGTGCCCTACATGTTCTGTGACAAGTAGGCTGGGCCCAACGCCTCAATCTCAGGAGGAAGCACTCCTGCCGGGCCTTGCTGTCCAGAACATCTAGGACATATCCCGGCACCTCTTCTTCGGTCCTGGGTCCATGAGCCTCGCTCAGAAAACACTCAACAGCTCCCAGGCCTGGTTCCAGTATGGATTTAGACATTTCTCCAACTGTCTTCCTGCTGAGTGCCGTGCCCTCCCCCCTCATGGGCCCTCCCCGTTGTGTCCCAGTGCTCAGTGCTGTCCTGCCCACATGGCCTGGACTTCTCCTCCAGGAAGCCTTCCCTGCCCCGGGAGCTACGCTGTCCTCCCTCTGCCCCGTGCCGGACGCTTAGCCCGTCCTGGTGTTACTTCATCCCATTTCCCGTCTCGCTTACAGACCTGTGGGGACAAGAGCAGGGCCCCACTTGTGCCCTCCAGCACCTGCCACAGACCCTGCGTGCTCCGGATGTTGTGGGAGGAATGTGCAAAGGAAAAGCCATACTGCCGAGCATTCGCACACCTGGGGCGGCAGGACATCTAGGATAGATCCGGTGGACGGATGCTGCGTGTACTGCCTCAGGATGAACAGAGACAGCCGGGCAGAGCACCGTCCCTTCTGCTCCAGGTTGACGTGCAAACCCCGGTGAGGAGAAAGGCAGGAAAGGAGGGCCCTGGCACAGGGCCGTGTGGGCGGCTCACCTGGGGGGATCTTGCAGACGGTGGCAGGGTGCCAGCCGTAGCGCTGGTTACAGTTAGGAGACTGGACGAAAATAGCACTGTCGCTAAGGCACTCTGCGAAGACCTCCCCTCCGATGTAGTAGAGCCGCACGCCTCTCCCTAGAGAGATGCAGGTTAGACCGGGTCAGGGCACCGTCGCCCACACAGTGGCCTGGGCCACCCAGGATAGCAAAGGAGGCAGAGCTGCAGCGGCTGCTCCCAGAGCCTGAGCCCTGAGCAAGGAAATCATGGGTGACACTGGGTTCCTACAGTCAGGGCAAGCTTCGACAGGAAAAGGACGAGCCAGGGCCTCAGTTACATTTCCAAGCTGTGGCCTAGAAAGTAGGGCAGCAACTCCTCCCTCGCTGGTCACTCTGAGACACAGCGGGTGCCTGGTGACAGCCGCCACCCTTGAGGCCCTTCCCATCCCATCCCGATTCATTCCAAAAACCTCCAGGGCTCCTGGGGCCCCAGGGAAGGGGCAATGCAGCCCCTCGATGCATTTTTTCTAAAGTAGCCCGTAAGTTTCTATCATTTATTTTTCCTTCATTTCTTAAATCCACTCCAGATGGACAGAAATTATTTTTAAATTGGCTCTGCAGTTCCAACAGTTATGCAAACACTCAGTGAGCTCCGCACTCAGCCAGCGGCTGTTCCCTCCCCCTACATTGCACGGGGAAGTCTTGTTCCACTCCTGGGGAGGAGGCCCGGGGGCTGGAAACAGCCAGACTTGCCAGCCCGGAGTGAAACTGGTGTGAAAACTGATGTCGAGGGGCTGTGTACCACTTGGTGTCCCCTCCTCTGCCTCCTGTCCCACTGCTGACCCTCCCTTAGAGCACCCGTTTCTTCTCTGGGTCTTCCAACTTGGTGCACAAGGAGGGGCGAGAGCAGGAAGGAGAGGCAGGACAGGAAAGACCCAGACCCCGACGAGCACACTGCCCCGGCTGTGGCCTCCCACTCCCCTCGTCTTGGCTGGGGAATCTGGTCTTCAAACCGACTCTTCTATGAGAGTCGAGAACAAACCAGCAAAAGCGGCAGTGCTTAGGGTTACGTGGGCCAACGTGCTCCTCTGCAGCCCCCCAGCTGGCCCCGGGTTCCAAGGTGATGTCTGAGAATATCTGGCCACATCACCCCACAGCTGTAAAACCACAACTATCGATGAACAAACCAAGTAAAACCACAACACAACTTCATCCGCCCTAAACTAACATGCGGACCTTTTGCTTGTTCTGGGTGTCTGGCGTAGGTGTGTTAGTGTTAGGCAGTGGACAATATTAGTCTTCCCGCCTTTTCTACATGGTCTAGAATAATCACCTATGAAATTAAAGATCGCCCTGCCAAGAGTTACAATCTACCTGTACTTTTAACCATATTTTAATAAAATGCCTCTAAAGTCACTTCCCATAACTTCCCTTCCTTGTCACCATAAGTGAGGTGTTTCACTCTGTAGCTTCCAGATGTGGGGAGATTGTCCCTATCTTTGGGAGGGAATGACGGAGCACCCTGAACTCTGCCTGTCTGGCCCCAGGTGGGACAACAGGATTTGGGGGGCCAGAGTGGGGGAGCCCCCTTCCCAAATCCCAAAGGAGGCAGAGCACAGCAGGGGCCTCCCCCTCACCGATGTGCCTGCGCGTCAGCTCCACGGCCGCGTTCCTGTTCACATTGGACAGCAGGCCTAGGCAGAAGCGCTCAGAGTTGGAGGGGTCGGTGAAGCCATCCACCGTCATGGACGGCTGTGAGGCGTGGAAAGTCTCCCCAACACGCTGGTTCAGCTCGTAGTAGGAGATGGAGCACCAGAAGGCTGGTTCGCAGTAGGTGACGGGCTGCAGGTCTGCGGAGACAGGGTCCACTGTCAGAGGCCGAGGGACCCCTGGGTGGGAGACGTGGGAGGACCCTCTGCCCCACGCCTCTCCTGACATAAACCTTGCAGGACGCCAAGGTTCCACAGGAGCACTTGGCCAGCTCTGCCTCTGTAGTGAAGAACCCGAGTCCATTCCTGGTGAGCCCGCCAGGGCCCTCCCCACCTGGCCTGGCACCAGTGTCCCGGACCCACCCCATGGACAGGCCCACTGTGCACTCTCTGGGGCGGGCACACCACCCACACATACAGTCACCTCCTCGCCTCTCTCTAGGAGCTGAGGGTCTTCTAAGGGGTCATGCTAATCTTTGTCCCCAAAGGGCTTTCGGCACTGGGCTCCCTGGCCTGGGTAAGCTCAGCCCATGGCACAGCAGTTCCAGAACCTGCAGCATGAGGAGGCTGCAGCAGCCACTGGTGCCTGGTCTGTGTACCAGTCCTACCACACTTCCTCAGCTGCCAGCTGACAAAGCAAAACTGCTATCTTGTGACGAGCTCTCCCTCGAGAGAGCTGGAAAAGGCCGAAGCAGGGGGGTCCCGGCCTTTTACTTCCCGTGACTCCTCTCCCGCTCTCCACTCCAGCCACACGGAACTCCGCAGCTGCCTGGGGCCCATGATGGTGGGGGACAGAGTGTGGTGGAGAATGAGGGTCCTGCTGTCTTCCATCTCCAGCCTGGGTCACTCACTATGGCCCCAAGTCGCTGTGGAGTCACCTGGCTGTCTAGGATGTGACGGAGCCGGTGTCCGTGGCCTCCCTGCTTATGCCCTTGGCACAGGGCTCCGAGAGAGGGATGGGAAGGAGGGATCTGAAGCTGTGCTACCCACAGGGTGGTCCCTGCCGCCAGAGGGCCCAGATCTTCCCGATCCAGGCACATGATCTCTCTCGAGGATGAAGAGTGGCGAGGAGAGATGCAGACCAGGGATACCCTGCAGGCCACGGTCCGGAAGTGCCCACCGGACCAGGTCACAGCTGGGGGAGGGGCTCCAATGGCACAGGACGGTTAGCACCCCTGGCCTCTACCCCCAGATGCCGGTGGCCTACGTCTACTTCCCCTCCCAAGTGGGGACAACCGAGAAATGCCACCCGACAGCACCAGATGTCTTCTAGGAGTTGAAACTGCCCATGGTTGAAAACCACTGCTTGGTAACAGAGCAGCATGGTCACACGCTCTGAGCTTCAGCTCCTCCATAGCTTTGGACTCGGACATGGGACCCGCCTTAACCCAGGTGCTGCCGTGGTGCAGCGCAGTACACCAAGTACTGGTGCGCCAAGCGTGCAGTGTCCTGTGAACCATTCCATGGCCTCTGGAGGGTCGTTCGTCCTTGCCACCCTCCTCTCTTCCCAGGGTGCAGCAGGGGAAGGTGCGGCAGAAGGCAGAAGACAGGCTGCTCTGGATGGAGGGAGGGGCGGTGGGGCAGGAGCAGCTGCGGCTTGTGCCCTGGCTCCTGAGGTTGGGCTGAGCCACGTCAGCCCCTTCCGGCTCTGGCTTCACTCAGTGCTCCCACATTCCAGGGAGATAAGCTATATTCAAAACAATGTGGCCACTAAAATGTGAGCTATGCCGCTTTAGAAACTTAACAAAAACAAAACGAGAAATCCAAGTGCAATCCAGGCATTCACAGCGGTCAGGCACCTAGAGGGTTGGGACTGCCACCACCCAGGTGCGGGCTCTGCTGACCTCGTGTGTGACCTCTGGGACATGGCCTCCCTCCCTGGCTTCAGTTTCCTGGTCTGTAAATGACTTGTGTACGGCAAGCCATCTGTGCTTCCGGTGCGGCTTGGCTGGAGAGGTAGCTCTGGCTAATCGGGGCGACCCTGGCTCACTCAGCAATGTGTAGAACAGAACGCAGTCCTCACCCCAAAATCATAAAGCCCTGTCCAGAATCCCTGGGACCTCATCCAGGCATGAGAGCAAGCCGGGCTTCCAGGCTCCCTGATACGCACCAGTCACGATCGGGGCTGCCGGACTACCCACTGCAGAACAGGCTCTGGACCAGGCTCTGGGGCCGCGTGGGCTGCAAGGAGTCCCGGTCTGAGAGGCCCTCCCAGGCAGATGTGAGCCCTTCCAGACACCCTGATATGATACTAAGAAGATTCCTATCGGGGGACAGTTGAGGTGAGGCCAGTAGCCATTCCAGAGCACGCTGCACAAAGAGCTCCTGTGTCAGAAACAGGCTGAGCCAGAGCAGCAACCCAGCAGATGCTACACTGCAAGGCACAGAAAGGGAGTCCTGCCTCCCACAGCCTTCTGTTGCTTCCCTTGAACACTTTTGCAGGAGCTGCAGCCCAAAGTAGGGTCACCATCTCCGGGCTCTTCCTTCAACGATGCTGTATTTCAAACAAACCATACATGTGACTTCATTCCTCATTTACAAGAGAAAAAGTCAGGAACCATGAGGTTACGACTACTAGAGTACGCAGCTCCGAGCTTCCTGGCAGACAAAGCAAAAACGGACATAATAGCAACATATCTCTCATGAGAGAGTACACAATGCTTACTACTGCTACACAAGAAACAGCCTGTCCTGGCACTAAGTTTTAAATGAAATTGCTCGGAGGAGGTGGCAGCCCCTCCACCACACCAATCAAGCAGGCCCTGGTCTCACTTGTGTGCATTTGTGCCAACAAATGCAGACCCAGCTTTACATAGGGACCTGGAGGTGTGCCAATCAAAGGCTCCTCTGGGAGGCGACTGTGAGGGCTCAGGGACAGTGGCTTTGCTTCTCCAGCCTTGGCCTCTGCACACCTGAGTGGCAGGCAGAGACACACACCAAGGCCTTGCCCACCACCACCCCAGCTGCCGCCAGCCTGCAAGTTGTGCTAATTGCTTCCCAGAACAGAGGTGTCAGAGACACGGCACCCTCCGGCTCGGGGCCCCCGCCCCCAGCGTGGTGTCAGCCAGACCTGCCAAGTGGTGTGGGGCACTTCACGCTTAGCGGGATGCCCCCCACCCCACCAGCCCGGCATATTGGCTGACTTCAGTTACAAGCCCTGTTCCAAGCTGGCGTGGACTTTCTGTTTTGTTTAAAGAAAAGAAAACAGAATAAAACCCAGAAGGCAACACTTGGATTATGGGATGCCTATTAAAAACATGTGCAAAAAATTCAGATCCGGTAAAGGAAAAGGTGGGGAGGCAAAAGGGCAAAATGACTTTCTGCTCCAGTCCTCTGGCCTCTTCCCACTGCCGTTGCTTCTGCTGTCCCCCTGCCTAGACTGCCCTTCCTCCGTCACCCGTAGGGACCTCACCTGTAAGGCCAGATGCAACCATGACGCACGCTCTCCCCCTCTGTACAGACCCTCACAGCGCAGCACTCGGGGCCCTCCCTGCAGCCCCAGCCGGCAGTATCCCCAGCATCCAGGGCACTAATTCCAACCCATCTCTGAGGACTCGAGCAACAAACCAACCTGTGCAGAGAAAGAGCCTTTTAACCTGCAACCAGCTTAATGCCACCAAGAACAGCGGGAAAGTCAAATCCCTAGGAGAGTAAGAGGACAGCCAGCGGAGGACTTAGCACCACATCACCAGTCTGAGGCTTCACAAGATTTCCAAAGCCTGGAGGCAGAAGTGGCCTTAGAAGGTGCCTTGTGTGGAAGGCTCAGGACACCTGGCACTGGATCAGGCCTGTGACCAGGAGTCCTACGCTCTCCCAAGGGCTGGTGGCCTTCCACCTTCTGGCTGCCCGGACACTGCCATGTCACTCTCCTGGCACAGAGGCAGGTACATTCTGCCTGAGATGCTCTGGGAAACCATTACCCCAAAACCCCAGCTCAGCCACCACGGGGCACTCCCTGGGACCTGCGCATCCTCAGCCAGGCCACTCTGAATTCTCATGTAAAGGAGAGGACACTTCTCCCCGGTAGTCTCCAATGACTTACTCCTTTCCTCCTCCACCTGCAGCTTCCTTCCCCTCCACCTGCTCCAATTCCCTGACAGCTCTGTGAGTCGCTCAGCAGTGTGGTACATAAATCCCCACCTGCTCACATCCCCTTCCTGCACATCCCACACTTTAGTCCTTTTGGTGACGGTAACTTCATCATTATCTCTCTAAAACACATAACTCAAATGTGCTGGGACGCTTCTGCCTTCCAGGCAGAGCTCACCATGTGCCCGGTTACATCCTATGGATCGGGTCACCGTGGCCATCTGAAGTGGTGCCTAGGCAGCTTCCTGCTGCCTCCATAACCCACTTCTGCCCTTTTGCCCTGCTGCTCCTGCTCCTCACAGACCGCCCTGCAAAGTCTGCCCTTGGCCTCCTCATGCTGGACTTCAGGCTCCTCCCACTCCTGCTGAAGTTCTGCAGAGCCCACCTGACGCCACTGCCCCTCAGGGTGTCCATCCTGAGGGCCCAGGGCTCCGGCTGCCTTTGTCCTTCTGGAGTGGGGTCTCCTCTGCACCGGACTCCTCCACTGTCACCACTGCAGCCGTACCTTTTGGGGCATCTCCAAAGTGAGCTCTAGGAGTACCCAGTAGAGTAAGAGGGATACTCCTGTTTGCCAGGGCATGAAGGAAAAACAGCCCTCCCCGGGCACTCGGTCACAAAACCCGGAAGGGCTGTCACCATCATGTTTCAGTCTCAGCCCCTCGGGCCCTGGCTGCTTCCCCGACTCTGTAGCCAGTTGGAGACACAGCTTACCACCGTCACCCAGACCCTTCCCCACTTCCTGCCTCAGTTGGACGGCTTCACCGTGGCTGCAGCTTCACCAAAGCTGACCAGAACGTCCTGTGCACCCAGGACCGCTCTCAAGTGCCCTCTCAGGCCCACTGCCATTTCTCTAAGGGACACTGTGACAGTTAATCTTGACTGTCAGCTGGACTGGCTTGGCGGCTGCCCAGGGGGTTGATGGAGCAACATCTGGGTGGGTCTAGGTGGGGCATGGAGCCATGACCTTGGGAACCATTCTCTGCTCTGCTGCCTGGCTGCCATGATGTTTCTGCCTTGGAGCCAGCTGACCACAGACTGGACCCCTGAGACTGTGAGGCAAATAAATCTCTCCTCTAAACTGTGGGTGTGGGGTGTTGTGCCTCCCCAACAGGAAAGCCGACCGATATAGATTCATCCCAGCCTCCCTCAGCAGCAGCTGCCAAAGTGTGCTTTTATCTGTCTTCCAGTAATTTCCCCTAGAATGTATATTCCATGCAGCGGTCAGAGTAATCATTATGAAGCTGTCATCGGATACCCCCCAACCCACTACCAACTTTCTTTCTTCGGTAGGTCACAGGGGCACGCTGGCACCGAGGCTCTTTTCTCGGCCCCCACGGGCCCCTTCAGTGTCATCTTCCCTGACACGCCACCAGCCTCCACCTGCACTGTGCCTCCCACCACCTCTGAACTTTTGAGGCAGACAGGTGGAGACCGCTAGTCTACCTGGCCTTGGTCTGTGACAGGGACACAGGCTGTGATGGAGGACGCCTGAACTGTATAGCCCACTTCTCCATCAACTAGGTGTGTGGGGTGAATACGTCCACGTCTCTTCTTTGGCTTTCTACTCTGCACGCTCGCCCTTCCCTCTGTGCCCCCCACTCCAGGCAGCCTGCCTTCCGTGGTCTCCAGGTGATGAGTGTTTCCTGACACTGTCCACCCAGGGCTCACAAAGCCAGTCTGAGCCACCGAGAGCCACCATGCCTGGACGTGGCTTTGCCTGAGCCACTGTGTCAGCTCCAGCAACAAAGCCCCAAACCAAACTACACTGGCATTTTCTTCACATTTCCCCTCAATAAAGACGACACAGACATTTCACACATTCCGAGACCCTCAGCAGGCCCCATGTGGGAGCCACAAGGACTTGGCAAAGCTTGTCCCATGCTAAGGACTGAAGGACCTCCCTGGAGGGTGGAGCCACTTTCAAAATCCTGACCCAGAGCCTGACAAGCAAAGGGTGCTGTGGAAATGAGGGGCCAGCTGCACCCAAACATGGATAACTCAAGATAAGCAGGGCAACAGATACGGAAACATGAAATACTGCAACAGAAGAATGGAAGACGGTAACAGGATGGTGCCAACTATAAAACAAAGACTGGTAAGGACGGGATTATGGGCACCGTGTTATTTCCCCAACTCTTTCTGTGTTGCTGCTTTGATAAATGAAATTAATTAATCCTAAGGTGAGATACTCAGACAAAACCTAGGAAAGTGTGTCTGAACCCCACCTGTGAAAGTCAGGCTGGAGTCCGCAGCTGCCCGCAGCTCTGCACCAAACCACACACGGGCGCTTGGCTGACCACAAACCTGGCCTCCAGGGCCAGAGGTCTGGGGGTTTCTCATTCACTCGTGCCTGACGCCACCCGGGGGAAACACTAACGCGGCACACAGCCACCTTTCCTGTCCCTGTGGTGCTCAAGTTTCCCTGCTCTGGGGTGACCCCAGGCCGGGCTGGCCAGTGGAGACAGGGCAGTGGGCACCCTTGCCCTCAGAGTCCCTTTCCCACACTCGCCACCAGTTGGAGGGGTTCCAGTCCTGCGGCAGAGATACTCACCCAAGTTATTGTGTGCTGGGGACATCGGATTCGGGGAGAGGTTCGGAGAACCTGCAAGGTGAGACACAGCAGTGAGGCCTCAGGACAGGAAGGCTCACCACAGAAGGACAGGGCCTAGGACTGAGCCCCTGACTTGCAGGAGAAGGCCTGACCTCGTGCCCTGGCCCCCGCTTTCCTTCCCTGTGCCCCAGCTTCTCCGTGTGTGGAGTGGATGGACTAAGATGGTGACCTCCGGGGTCTCCTGTGTCCTCGTGCTTTAGGGTCCTGACCAAGGCTGCAGCACAGGGCAGCTGGGTGCTCACCGAGGATGGGTGGCACCATTCACTCAGCTTACACCACCTGTGCTGGTAGCTGCACCCCAAGAAAATGAGAGGAGCAGGGACGGGCCTCTCCCCAGCTGTAGAGGCCCAGGCGAGTGCAAGGCTGGCCCTGCACGTGCCACCTGTCACCCCTGCCCTCCACTCATGGGATGGCACCTCGGCTCAGGGACCTTGAAGTACTAACTCAGGTGATTCGAACCTGCTGCAGAAACCCTCAGCTCAGCAACCAAAGCAATGCTTTGTGCAGGACAGGACGGCGCCTGTTGGGAAAGGGTCCGATCCTACCTAATTTGTACTCTATGATGCCCTCACCACCAGAAAGAAAGCGGGGGAAAAAACAGCATCAGCCTTCAAAGAAAGCAGCGGCTGCCTTCCCACCCCTGAAATCTGCTGTCCTTGAAGCCAGGCCTACACCTAAGCCCTGTGCAGCTGTAACCACAGCACAAAGGATGAGCCCCAGGTTTGTTTCTGTCCCCCAAGTCCCCTAACCCACTGTGGACGCAGCTCAGTCACTGGCCCAGCAGGGTCTTCCAGCACACACAAAGTGGAGACATGCCACCACGTAGCAGTGTGTGACTGCCAAAGACCTTCAGCTTTTCTGAGCCTCAATTTTTTGCTCAGTAAAAAATAGAAATAAGATCATCTACTCTGAGCTACACAGATTAAGCGAGGACAAACATGTGAAACTGTTTACACCGTGCCTGTGTTTAGTAAGCACCCAAGAAACTTTCATTTGCTACTTGGTAATGGTGCCCATGACGGAGGCCTGGGAAGGCTGGTGACCTTCTCACTGGTCTGAAAGGGCACACGTGCCTGTGAGGGGAGACACGGGGGAACGAGGCGACCTCTAGCCTGAGACACGGCCGCACCATGCCAGGCAGGGAAGCCTGAGGGGGAGCAGAAAAACGGGAGGTTGTCATGCACCCCTGCCACACACACCCCCGTCTCCCCTTGAGATGGCTGCGTGCACAACAGGGGCCTGAGACGGAGGGGAGAAGGAAGGGAGGGGACAGTGACAGGTGGGCAGAAAGGAGGGAGGGCAGGGAGAAGCGAGCAGAAAGGGCGACAGAGCCTCCTCTGCTCTGCGTTTGTGACCACCGCCATTCTGCAGACACAGGGATGGGGAGCGGAGAGCAGGGCAAGACAGGTCTGGCAGCTGGAGAGACACTGCTTAGCCGGCCCTGCCCTGGGCCAGCAGTTAACAGCTGCACGCTTGCAGCGGCCACTTGGCACAGAACACAGGAAGGTCGCTGGTGCACTGCAGCTGTGTCCACACTGCCAGTGGCTGTGGGGGGCAGTTTCAGGGGATGTGCTCAACCCAGAGTGCAGCTGCACCCGCACAAGATCTCGGCAAGGGCGGCTGCTTTGTGCCCATGAGCCTCCTTCCTTCTTTCAGGAACTGCAGTCTGTTCCAGCTGTGCACAGGGGCAGGTGTGTACCCGGCATGCCCGCTGTCACCATCTCCATCGCCAGGATGGAGTAGCCACTCGGCTGCCTTCTCTTTGCCCAGCCACACACAACGCAGCACACTCACGTGGCAGCTGAGGCTCTGTTCAAGAAGCTGCTGGTGTGAAGCCAATTTGGTCCCATGACAGTGACACGGGAAACATTTGGAGCTGTGGCGGGAGAGCCAGGCCAGCTCCCGCCCATAGGGGCACGCTGTCACATTTGGCCCCATACAAAGACAGCCGCTTCCTGGCTGTCCACCAGTCACTGGAGATGACCTGGTCTCCACCCGACCGAGCTCTCGGAGATTCTCACCTGATCCATTTCAGGAGCCTGAGCCCACCCTCCACCCTCTGCCACCAGCCCCATCCCAGCTTAGGGCCTGCACTGGCTCCCCCATGAACTGCAGGCTCAACAAGGGGTCTTCCTGCCACGCTTGATGCCCTGTGTGACAGGTCCCCAGGAAAGTGTCCAGCCTCACCGAGCACCAGCCTGGCCTGGACATCCCTGCACTCCAGCCACACTGGGTTTCCCTGCCCAGGCCTCCATGACTGCCCAGCACACCCTCTGCCACCCCACTAGCTTCGTGGCCATCACCTACAAGTCTCCAAGACTCCACTCAGAGAAAGTCTACACTGCAAGGTACAGCTCCTCCCAACCAGGTTAAGTGGCCGCGCTCTGTGCCTCTGCCAACCCACGGTGTCTGTACGGTGAGACAGCACGGTGACCGCTGTCTGGTACCTGCACAGGCTGGTCACTGAACACTGGAGAGACTGGGCGGGGTAGGAGTGCGTGAGAGGAAGGGATACAGGGGAGGGACCAGCCACTCAGTGAGAACTGCCAGCACGCTGCACCCGACTGACCTGCGTCCATGCTGTGGTTCATCTGGTGGTCACTGGTTTCTCCATCTTCGCTCAGGTAGCCAGGGGGTGGGGTCTCTGGGAAGCAGAAGACAGGTGGCCCATGAGAAGGCCTGCACGGCGCAGCCCTGGGACGTCTTTTGCAACTGTGGCACACCCGGTATGGGCTCCCTGGGCCTTGGGCCTGCTCACCTGCGACCCCCACGGCCCCAGTGGCTCAGCACGGCCGGGCCAATTCCCAAGTCCGTTCTGAGAGGCAGGAGGAGCTGATGCAGGCTGACTCCCCTGCTCTTCAGGGACAGGCCGGCCCCAAGCCCTCCAGGGAGGCTCTGGACTCTGCCTCACCCATCTCTGTCCTCCCAAGGGCCATGGCCTCAAGCACGCCCCTTGGCCCTGCATCTTCTCCTGCACAGACTCGCTGCAAGTTGTCATCTGTCATCTCTCGGGAGGGTGGCTTAGCTCCCCAGTGAGGGTGCAATGTGATAATGGCAGAGGTGGTGTGACTGGGCCTCCAAGGCTGGCCCTTTCAAATGGGAGTGACGACAAAGCCCAAAGGCTACCTGCAAGGAGCTGGGGGATCGGGCAGGGTGCTCACGAAATTTCTGCCCCAGGCACACGGGTTCCAAGCATGTGGGCCACAGCCACCCCAGCCTGCAAACTAAGCCAGAGCGACAGCCTCATCAAATTAGAAGGTGGCGAAGGGTGGCTGGACCACTGTTGTTGCTACCGGCCATTGTCATGGGGTGTGTGTGTGTGTGTGTGTGTGTGTGTACGTGCGTGCGCGCGTCACCAGAGGGTGGCCCAGCACCTCCCCAGGACACCAGGACCCTATCTGCATGTAAACGGGGGGCTTCCACAAACATCCGCAATCTTCTGCAGGGTGCCAGTTTTCTCCCCTGAAGAGAGAAAACTCAAAGTGGCCTTGACTCCCACCCAGGCTGTCATCCCTGCCAGGGTCAGAGGCCCAGGGTCCTGGCAGACCCCAACCTGAACAGCAGCCCTCCTGCTATGAGGGTGAGGCAAGAGAGTAACAGAGTGTTGCTATTTCCACTTCCAAAACAAATGACTGCACTGGGACCGCGCTGGGGCCGGGCGGAAGGGTCACGCCGCTCCTTCATGCCAAGCAAAGCATCATTAGCCAGTGGGGAGCCCAGGCCTCAGGTCCTTTCCCAATGGGACGCAGGGCTGGGTCAGTGTCGCGCAAACGGGGTCGGGAGACGGGTAAGGGTAACGGGACAGCGTACCTGGAATATTGCTCTGGGGCTCGATTCCGGCAGGGAAGTTGGTGTTCTCGGGGATGGAATGAGTGTAGTCCTCCAGTGGGGGGAACTCGGCTGGGATCTCTGTGTGGCGAGGCACCAGCACGGGAGGGAGTACTGTCCAGGCAGAGAGGCAGAGGCGGCTCAGCGCCCAGGCCTGGCTGGCACCACAGCCCCAGAGCCCCCGTGTACCCGCTCCCAGGAGCGTACCTGGTGTCTCTACCCTCTGGTAGTGGTAGGGGTTCACGCACACCTCATCCTTCTTCATGTTGAAGGCGAACTCACACAGCTCCATGGCCCGCAGCTCATGGTGGCTGTGCAGGTCCGGCCATCGCCACAGGCGGCAGTAGATGACATGGGGGAGCCCCTTCCGATGGGACACCTGTAGGCGGCCATCCAGGGACCTGCCAGGGCAGCGAGGGCAGACAGAGACGGTGGGGTGGGTTTAGCTGCTGAAGCTCCGAACAGGTCTGCTGGCCGGCGTGGGGCAAGCTGGGCCCTCCCTCCTTGTTCCCAGCCTCGAAGGCCCCATGCTGAGCGGAAGGGACCCCAGAAGAGGCAAGCAGGCCCACAACACACGGCTGAGGCCCCCACAGCTGGCAGAGTGGGCCAGCATCCCCCAGGCCGAGCAGCGCGTGGCAACCCGGGAAAGGGATGCATTTAAGTCAGGATCCAGGAAAGTGCACACAGTGCTCATCTGGCTTTGCCTACGTAGAGGGGACCCGAGGATCTAGGAAGACAGCCAAGCCCAGGGCATGCTGGGGTGCAGGCAGCCATGTGGGCAGGGATCTGGGGACTACAAGAAGGGATTCTGCCCTTTTTTCTAACAGCAGTTAGTGAAGGAGCCTCTGAGATGCTTCGGCGCTGTTCATGTGTGAGTCAGGCCTCAAGGTGATTCTGGCTGTGTGTGCAGGGGTGGAAAGTCGCGAGAGGGGTGCTCTGGAACTGGGGGCCCTAAGAGGCTCATCCAGGACCCACCATACTTTTCCTAACTGCTGAGCATAGCTGGAAAGAAGATATTTGCAAGCTGTCCCTGTGTATCCCCTTAGGACCAAGCACAACTGTGCACCTGGTGAACAGGATCCACGCGCCCTCTGTGAGGGAGGGGCTCCCAGATGCACCAACCAAGAAGAGACAGAGGGAGCCAATCGGGATCCCCAAACCTCTGGCCCGGGAACATGGAGGACAGGAAGGTCAGCACTGGGCTTGGTCACAGGGACAGACCCAGAGCTGCTGACTGAGGGCATCTGGAAGGATGTAATTACCTCCCTCCCATGGGGGCCGGGGCCAAGGAACCCCTACAGCTGAAAACAGTAATTACGAGGCAGAGCCAGAGAGGACAGCCTGGGTCTGGTCCCCAAGGTACAGGAGAAAGCCTAGCAGATGAGTCCTAAGACCTGGGGTCAAGAAGTGATTTGCTTCTCCTCACTGCAAGACCCTGGGCAAGGCATGAGGAATCCAGGGCCCTCCACTGCCTTGTCTAGAAATGGGGGACATTCTGCCCCTCCCCTGACCTCACAAAGCCTGGTGTCCATTTGAAAGGTCTCTGCAAAGTACCAACCATTGAGCATTACTGCCTGCTCTCTGTCACTGCAGAGGCCCAGCCCAGACAGGGCACTGAGCTACAGCTGAGCAGGCAAGAAAGGGAGAGTGGGAAGTGTTGAGCTGGACAGAGTCACACGGCTGCTGTCACCCCTGCAAAACCACTGGGTACCCACAGATTAAGGAAGTGGCCACATTTGCTCATCAGGGTTTGACAAAAGCCCCAGCAAGAGGCCAGTGGGTCAAGGCAGCCAAACCTTACAGTCTTTCAATGATGTGCTAGAAAACTGAGTAGCCACATGCAGGAAAACTGAACTTCAACTTATACCCTACCCCTAGACAAAAAAAAAAAAAAAAAAAAAAA